CATAAACCAATGGATTACATTAAATTCTTAAAATCCATCTTTAAATAACAGTATGGTTGGTCGTGTCTTTGTAATTTTCCATCTTCATTTTTTTTTGAAATATTTACTGTTAAATTCAAAATCCGCCAATAACACACAAAATAATCCCCTTTCCCAAAATTGGAAAATCTAGGGTTTCTTCGAAGGCGATCGCATCTCCCAAATCACCCAAATTTTCCAGTGTTCTCTTGATTCACTCGATTTCAATTGTTTCCTTCTTTGTTTGATCCGATTCAGTGTGAAGCGAGAGCGCCATTTCCTCCGTATATACCTTAAATCTGTGTGGATTTTTTCCCCCATTTGGAAGAGAGACGATGAGCGATGTCACCGGCGATCTCGCGGCGGTGAGCGAAGCAAAGGGCGGTTCTGACGCGGCTCGGATCGCGGAAGTGAAAGCGTGGTTCACTTCTCAGTTCGAATCCGCCGGTAGAGAAGTCCCTAATTTCGAGTACACTCATCGAAGCATTACCCATCTGTATAATCTCGCTACTGCTTCTCAAGCCAAATCTCAGGCTGCAAGCATTGTCGCCAACGATTTTCGTCAAAAGGCTTCGGAATATCGTGCTCAAGGTACTTGCTTTAGCTCCTAATTTGTTCGCTTGGCTGCTTTGATTATGAATCTTGTTTTGGGGAATCATCAGTTCCTGATCTGTTACTATACATTTGTTGTTTTTGATTACGTTATCTCTATGAGTTGGGTTTTTTGGGAAATAGTTGTGCTTCTCTCTTTTTTTATCTCTGTTTTGAACTTCTCTGAGTGATGTAGCGGCTAGGATTAGAGAGATATTGGAGAGTGCGGGAATGGCGCAAGATAGTTTACCATCGAATGTGGTCTCTTCAGCTCAAGTTCTTGCAAATGTGGCAAATTTATTGAACATAAGGGACACTGAACTGAGCAGGTGAGTTCACTGTTGTTAGCTCTTCTTATTAGGTGTGCTGTTATATCGAGATTGTGAAACTGATGCAGAGAAATGTGCATAGTTTCCTTGTTGCGATGGGAGACATTTCTTTGAGGAAGACTGGGGTGGAGGAGAAAAGGGCTAAAGCACAAAAGGAGTCCAATGTTCTTCTTGATTATACAAGGAAAGCGATACAGAGGCTAACATATTTGAAGAAGTAAGATTCGTGATGGAGAAACATATAGATTGAACTTATAATATGGTCTCACTGGCATTACATGTAAACCTTGCTATTTTGGGGGGACATTTAAACAGTTGTTCTTTTGGGAGACACTGATATTACTTTATCTGTGTGAGCTTTTTACAGAATCCTTGCGCAGCTAGAAGATGATGTGGCTCCTTGTGAATCGCAGATGGAGAATTGGAAAACAAATTTGGAAGTGATGGCTGTGAAGGAGGAACAGTACATACAACAGTATAAGAAATATGAGGTAAATGTCTTCTTCTTTTAGAATCCTTTGGTAATAGGTAAAGTGAGAAGCTTTCTGCAATTAGATCTGGTGGGGGATATTTGAAGAATCAGATACTGTTATGTAAAAACTGAAACAAACTCTTAGCGAATGGAAACCGGAAGGATTAGTAAGGGTAAAGCTATTTTCTTTGCTAGTAATTCAAGGATTTGATTCCAGGGCTAAACCGCTAAAGTTATTTTGAGTTTGTGATATCATAAACAAACACTCTGAAAAAGATTCAGGTTGTATGAGCACTGCAGTGATGATGTTCACTAGCAAATTTTTCCTATCGTTCGATACTACGATGCAGGAAAATGTTTGAAACGTCAGCAATTAGAGTTTTGGATGCTACTCACCTTCTAATGGTTTAGTGTGATTATATAGAGAATTTGAGTTCTTCAAAAAACCTGACAGCGTCAAAATGAATGGTTGCTAATACCTTTTTCTTATGGATAGCAGATGTTGCTCAACCGTGTTGGCTACACTCCTAAGATCAGCCACAGAGAACTGGTAGAAATGGCAGAGCACCGGAAGGAATTGGAGAAGATGACAAAACCCGTTCTTGATACTCTAAGAAGCTACCAGGACTTGCCTCCGGTAATCTTCTTACTTCTTTTCATCGAATCCAAAAAACTGATGCATCTCTGGTTCTCAAAGTCTTCATTAAACTCTGTTTGATGAGCATATCAATCTCCTCTTTGTTATTGGTCATCACTAGTCTCAGTTCACAGTGTGGTGCTTGCTCATTTCTTTGAACAGGACAAAGCTCTCGCTGCATTAGCAATCGAAGACAAGAAAAGACAGTTTGCAGCCGCGGAAAAGTATCTAGAAGAAGTATTACAATCTGCCCTTGAGACAAGCGACGAGTGATGGATAGAAAACCGAAAGATACTGTTTTGAGTGTAAATGAGCAATGCATATCTGTGTTGTGTTTGTTACCAGAAACCTGAGTAGAACATAAGAAACTTGGAGATGCAACACATTGCTTTGTAACATTACCTTCTTTATTCTCATTATTTTGTCTCAAGCTGATATTTTGATACTTAAATATCAACAAAGAAAAGTAAATGATGTGAATATGAACTCAAATTAATCTAAAAAAGTGACTCTAAATGATATACCAGATGATGTATACGATTGAAATTCCATATATTTGCTGCTATGATTCAATTAAAATGGGAGACATTTCTCTGAGAAGGACTAGAGTGGAGGAGAAAAGGGCTAAGGCAAAGGAGTCCAATATTCTTCTTGATTTATACAAGGAAAGTGATACAGAGAGTGAGTTGACATATAGACTTGTAATGAAGAAACATAACTAGACTTTACGTAATGGAGAAACATAACCGGACTTTTAATATGATGTCACTGAAAAGCTCAAGAAAGAAAGTGAAAGCTTGAAGATACTTGTTGAAACGCAAATCAGATGATCCAACCTTCTAAACCTCGTGTAAAACAAAAAGAAAACACTTCCATGTCAGATCAATTCAGTGTTAGAGTAACAAGAAAATAGAGGAAAATTAAGCTAAAGAGAAAGAGAGTGAAACCAGATTTGACGGTAAGCTCGAGGTTACATATCATCTCCCTCCTCCGTTGAGTTGAGCTTGCAATACTTGGAGACGGCCTTTAACTTCTGTTAAGGCTTCGGCTAGAAACGATTTCACCATGGGAATATCANCAAGTATCTCATCCAAGCTCATGGTCTGCAATTTCACTTTGTCATGTTGAAGTAGAGTCTTGACACTTTGAAGCTCATTGAGAACTAGAACATTCACTCTCTCATCCACTCTATTGTTTCGGTCAATGTC